GAGAGGTGTAATCTCACCAGGTAGCAGAGCCAGACCTGGTGAAAGCCTGCTCTGGGGCAGACATCCTCCTGTTCGTGGTGCCCCACCAGTTCATTGGCAAAGTCTGTGACCAGCTGAAGGGCCACGTGAAGAAAGATGCTGTCGGGGTGTCGCTCATCAAGGTGGGAGCAGGGGGAGTGCTGCTGGGGCACCAGGGCAAGGGGGCTCAGCTGGGGGCAGCCTGGCTTGGAGGGGCTGCAGAGGGAACCCCAGGGACTTGGAGCAGAAATGGGGCTCCAGAGCTTGGGGGGGGAGAGTGGGGGCAGAGTCCTCCTGGGGATTTGGAGGTGTGCTGGTGGAGGAGAAGGGTGAGGGCGTGCAGGGAATGCTTGTGGGGAGGGGGGCACTGCTGGGCTGAGGGTGGGAGCATTGCAGCACAGGGGTGACAGGGCTGGGGCAGGAGGCCAGGTCTGCAGGGGGGCAGGTGCTCACCTCGGGCCCTGTTGGCTCCCAGGGGGTGGACGAAGGACCAGATGGGCTGAGGCTGATCTCTGACATCATCCACGAGAAACTGGGCATAGAAATGAGCGTCCTCATGGGGGCCAACATTGCCAGTGAAGTGGCAGAGGAGAAGTTCTGTGAAACAACCATTGGTAAGGAGCCAACATCCCTCCTCTTCACCAGCCTTGGCTTCTGGCAAGCAGAACGAGGCGACAGGGTGAGCATGGAGCTTCAACTCCTGCTGCCTTGGGTGAGCCAGCCCCTTTCCAGAGGAGCCTGATGGACTCGTCCATGGGGTTCACAAAAAAACTGAGCTGTGTGTCTAAAAGTCCCTGCCAGCACATACTGGGAGCATCAGGTATTGTGCTGGTCTTGAACCAAAGGGGTGGACACCGAGAGGCCCTTTAGAAAGAGTTTCTACCTTTGTTCCTTGGGCTTCCATGGATGTTCTCCTGGGTCTCGTGTCATCACCAGCCAGGGCTGCTTGAGGCTTCATCTGCTGCCTGTTCTGAACGTCCTCCACCCCATCAATCCCAGGGAGCAGTCTGCTGGGTTAGAAGTTGTGGGATTCAAGGCATCTGTATTTTAAACAGAAGCAAACGTGCTGTGCAGGAGGCTGTGGAGGGGAGTGGGCAGAGCCTGCTGCCACCACGAGCACACTCCTGTGCAGGACTTGGCAGGAGCAGGGACAACAGCAGCCTCCAAACCCATCTTTGCAACCTTGGAAGATGCCTTTAATCTACTGGGCACATCTTTTCTGTCTTGCATAACGAAGCAGCAGGGAATGTCCCCATCCTCTGGGAATTCCAAGGTTGAACTGTGCTATTTGGCAGGCAACTGTGTGCTTGGCACTTCACAGACCTGCAAATGTTTATCCACGTCCATCAGTTGGGCAATAGGCTCCTCTCGCTGCAGTACCTGCAGGAACACACCCCTGGGCAGGAGAACAGCACAGCCTGAGGGTCTCCCTCATCATCTTCCTCCTCCTCCTCCTCCTCCCTTTGTCTCACCAGGCTGCAAGAACACGCAGCACGGGCAGGTGCTGAAGGAGCTGATGCAGACACCAAACTTCCGGGTGACGGTGGTGCAGGAGGCAGACACCGTGGAGATCTGTGGGGCTCTCAAGGTGGGTGAGCTGCTCCCCGGGCTCTACCGTGGAGATCTGTGGGGCTCTCCAGGTGGGTGAGCTGCTCCCCGGGCTCTGCAGAGCTCACAGATCCTCAGGGCTGTGCAGGGAGCTCTGAGGAGGAGGCTGTCGGTGGAGGGAACCCCCCTGGGTGTGGCTCTGCGGCTTTGCTGAGACCCTTGGGTCAGACTTCTGAGGGAAAGGTGGCTGTGTCCCCTGCTTGGAGGGATGATGGTGATACAAGGCAGCTCGTGGAGCCAGCCCTGGAGCTCTGCAGGGCAGGGATCTCCCCAGGCCGTGGCTGTTTTCCAGAACGTGGTGGCCATAGCGGCCGGATTCTGCGACGGGCTGGGCTACGGAGACAACACGAAGGCCGCGGTGATCCGCCTGGGGCTCGTGGAGATGATTTACTTCTCCAAAGCCTTCTGCAAGGGCCCCGTCACCTCCTCCACCTTCCTGGAGAGCTGCGGGGTCGCCGACCTCATCACCACCTGCTACGGGGGCCGCAACCGCAAGGTGGCCGAGCCAGGACGGGGAAGGTGAGGGGGGGAGGTGAGGGGGGAAGGTGAGGAGGGGAGGGCGGTGTTTTGGCATCTCCACCCGAGCAGGCAGGGGGGCTGAGCCCCATTTCCTTGCCCAGCCTGGCTCCAGGGAAGGCCACCCCAGCAGGTGGGCTCGCAGGGTCCAGCTCCCTCACTCGTGGGTTGTTTCAGTCCATTGAGCAGCTGGAGAAGGAGATGTTGAACGGGCAGAAGCTGCAGGGTCCCCAGACGTCTGCTGAGCTGCACCACATCCTTAAAACCAAGAACCTAGTGGAGAAGTGAGTGCTCTCATCTCTCTTTTTGGGGTGGGGCTGGGATCTTTCCTGCAGCTGCAGGAGGGGAAATCCCCCCCCACACACCCCCCCTCAGCATCCCTGCTGCTCAGGTCAATGTCTGCACTGCCCACGTTGAGAGGGGCAGGGCAGGAGAGGCCCTGCTGGATGAGACACCCCTGTCCCAGCAGCTCCTCCCCAGCAGTCCTGCGTGGCACAGCAGGACTGGGGGAGCTCTTGCCTCTGCCAGCTGCAGCGACAGGCCAAGGGCTGACTCTGTTCATCTGCCCGCAGGTTCCCCCTCTTCACAGCCGTGTACCAGATCTGCTACGAGGGCAAACCCATCACTGACATCATCAAGTGTCTCCAGAGCCACCCTGCGCACATGTAAACGGGCTCTGCCCCCGCCCAGCCGAGGGGGGAGCTCCTGCCCGCGCCGACCTGCTCTGCTGCTGCAGCTTTGGGAGGAGCCCGCGGTCCCCGGGAGCCTGTGCAAAGTGCTGGAAGGGCAGAGGGGTCCCTCCTGAGCCCTGGACGCTGCCAGCCTGAGCCTGGCACCTGCAGAGAGGGA